CATGTTCCTTGAATACAAATAAATGACTTAAAATGAACTACATCATAATATACACTATTGTGTAACAGGATGGAACATAACATGGTAGAAATGTAAATGCTTTTTGGAAATAATGAAATGTGACATAACAGAGTTGAATACTCAAGATTTCTACTTTATTCCCTGATTACAATTACTGTCGTTAAAAACAACCGCACTGTTATATATTTTAATGTTGTGTAACAGGATGGAACCTAACATGGTGGAAATGTAAAGATTAAGCAGATTTTAGATATAAATTATGAAATGTGGAATAACAGAGTTGAAAAAAACCCACAACCACACTGTAATATATTTTAGATATTTAATGTTGTGTAACAGGATGGAACCTAACATGGTGGAAATGAAGATGTTATAAAATAAATAGTTGTAGTTCTGTGATATGTCAGGGTTAACGGCTGATCTAATCTTGACGTTGACTGCACTACCTAACACTGAAATTTTACTGACATTCCTTTAAATTCAGACTAACGGTGGAAATTTGTGTGAGACAAAGTACATATTAACAGGGTGGAAAGCAGTACTAGGGATACACATGTATCCTCTGATAACAGTGATTATAATGTATTAAATATGTATATTATTTTGTGTAAATATAGGCTATATATAAACTTAAAATGAGTAGTTTTAGTGTATAGCATGATATTTTTCTCATTGACAAATACATAATTTGTGAAAACATGGACTACCTGACGCCAAGAATAAGTGAAGCTTCTCTCCTGGTCATCTTCGGTTCAAACCCACCTCTGTAGTATCCGCTACCAAATGCCTGTCGCACACATGTAAATTGCGTTTGTTAAAATGAAATTGTATGAGTTTATTAAGATAAAGTATGGATTATATTATAAGAAGAATATAACTTGCAGATCTGGATGCCTCCAGAGCGTGTTTCACTTGCGGCTCCATATGTTTCATGGCTTGCATTGCATAGCGACCTGTACAAAATGGGCCATTAGAAAACAATCAGGCTTAATTAATCAACAGATGTGAAATGTATCATGTTCCT